GGGAAGAGTGATTTTAGGAGAAAGATTTGGAATGAGGATAGGAGAGATAAATTTGATTTTGTATAAAATTATATACAAAATCTCTATATGACTTTTTTGATTCGGTATACAAATAGGTTGTGGGTCCCATTAATTATGGCAAAAAAAATGAAATTATATTTACTGACAGTAAATACATTAAACTATACCCTTATTAATTAATTACTTAGGGATGTTTGCCATCCCACGTAATTTTCCCTTAAAATTTCAATAATAAGTCATCTTCACAATATATATATATTAACCGCTACTTAAAATTTGAATAATTCAAATATATTAAGATACATTTAATAATAAAATCTTTAAAAAAATAATCACATGACTTGGGTTTTGTGGTTTCTTCGTGGGGCAATAATGGAACAAACAAAATACCCTAACATGAAGTTTAGGATATTTTGCAATATATTAAATGGCATACACTGCACAACGTAGTCCGGAACACAGCCAGAAAATAATTCGACAAAAAATAATATATTTCCAAACTCATCTTGTGGTAAAATGCTAAATATTTTTTCATTGTTTTTATTTTCCACGAGTTTGGCCACTTAATATTTCCAGACCTTGTTGAGGGAAATAGAGACTGATTTTGGATTTTTTTGATGGTTTTGTGGTAGAAAATTATAGACAAGTCTTCATACATGTGGTTTGTTGTAATAAAGCAATTATGTGGTGCAAATCTAAAACGTCTCTGTTTCCTTGCCAAGATATTATTCTTTAGAAATATCTATTCTAGTATTATTCAAAAAATAAAACCAACTACTACTTAAGAATATAGATTTTTCTTTGGCTCAAATTGTGCAATTGAAGAATATTCATCAAATCTATATATTGGTTTAAGGACTGTAGAAGATAGGATCTAAACTTTACGAATTTTAAATTTGCCACAATACTCATAAATCTTAGAATACTTTGAACACATGTTAGACTCTTAAATTGTGGTAGACTCCCCAAAGCACAATTAAATCGTTTATTAACATCAAGTCCTTATAATAACGATTACATAATTCAAACCTTTAAATCGTTTGGGGTTTCCTTGAAATTTTGAGAGAAATTAAGGTTGTGTTTGAGACACGAAAGCTCAATTATTTTTAATAAAATGATAATTATTTGTATGGGTAATTGCTTAGACAGTGAAATATATATTTGTCGAAAAAAAATAACTTACTAAATATTGATAATAATATTATCAACTTTAAAATTTATAAGCACTAAAGACTAAAGCAGTTATACAAAATTAAGAATCAGAGCTAATTGTGATAAAAAAAAAAAAAAACGACTTATGTCCGAGAGAGATCATTTCTTATTTCCCTTCTTTTAGCGGAAATTGGAAAAATAATTTCCTTTTCTAGCAATTCTAATAAATACTTGCATCCTTAATCAGATTAAATAGTTTGCGTGTGACAACATAAAATCATGAAGTAACTTGCTATTTTACTTTAAATATTATTATTTCGAATTTAATTCATTTCTTTCTTTTCCAAAAGAAGAACCAACGGGTAAATTCTCTACTTGATTGCTGAATGCTTTCCTATTAATTGGAATTAACTGTCACCTCCTATTGTTTAGTTGGGATAAAATTTTGGAGATTCATAAAATTGATTTTATAACATCTATATAATTAAGCAAAATTTTATATTTCTATCAACTAATTAAAATTGTGGGAGTATGCGTATCTCATGTGCAATGTACTTTATTTTGTTTGTTTATGGTACCCTTTTGTTTCAATTTTTCAACTATCACTCCAACAAAAATAACTTTTAGCGGCAATAAATAAATACATTAATAAAAGAGTGCTAAAGTCTTTATCGGCATTAGTTAAGTGTCATTAAATTTAATATCGCTAAAGACTTTAGAGACATATACAATCTAATTCTCGCTAAAAATACATATTTAATGGTAATTAAATTATTGCGATTAATTAATTACCGCTAAAGATATTTTTTATGCAATGGAGTAACTAATTGAACGTCAATTGTGGTTGTAATATATAAAATGAACTGCAAATGTAGCCGTGCTACAATACTTTCTGTATGTTCTTTTCATAAGATTAAATTACTGTTTCCAAGAAAACTTATCCCCAACACTATAACCATGCTAGCTTATTCTTAAAAAGAAAAAAAATACTTTGTCATATACTATTATATATGACTTGTCTCTGTAATTTCTAGTATATCATTATTATAATGTTATTTGTCTGATTATCTTGAACGTATTTCAATCCATTTCTCGAGTACCCGTTACTCCCTCTCATACTAGTACAAAAATAAAAATTGCCCATCAAAGATTAAATTAATAGAATAAAAAATAATTAAGTGTCATTTCTGCAGGTTTTAAAAGCTTAGTGACAAAGTTTAAACACCTACTTAGAGACCTCTTTCTAGTATCCTATTAAGCATAAAGAAAATTAAACTCCTTTATCTTCATCATCCGGTAGAAATCAACTTTATAATTTCTAATTCCTCCGTAGGGCTTCTCCTCCAAAAGAAAACTCATTATTTGTACCAAGTTAAAAATTCGAATAGAAGGCAGTGTATCATAAATTGGAAGATACTTAACCACATCTTTTAAAGGAAGTAGCATTTGTTTTGCAATGATCAGAGCTACCTATAAGCTGTTTTTAGCAATGTATGGTAGGACCCTAGGAATTTCTGCCTATTTGTTTGAATTCCTCTAGTCATTTAATTTAATGTTGGGTATAAATGTCATACATTCTCCCTTCTATATTTACAGGCCCCCACCTCAAAAACTGTTTAGGATAAAACAAACAAGGAAGATAAGACTTAAATATATAAATTAGGATGTGACTTATAGCCGTCAGTAAAATTGATATCAAAAGCAATAAGTTAAGTTTTGATATGCAAAATCATTCGATACATTGTGCTAATAAAAAGTAACATATACTATATCACAATGAAATAATTGAAATGTGTCACTTAATAATAATAAAAAAGTTGAAAATAAAAAGAAATGGGTGGAATTATGGGCAATGCTCCAAAAAGTATAATCCCAAATTTAAGCTTACTCACGTGGGAATGCCCATTTATTTTGGACAAATTTGTTTGTGCCAACTCTCACCCATTTCTTGCTTCTGTCGGTCCTCCTCTCCTTTTCCATACTTACAAATTTTCCCTTCTATTCCCTTTTATGTTTGATACAAGAATCTCACTCTCCTCCTTCTTTGCTGCTCTTTTTTGTATTACTGTATCCGAGTCAAAATTTTCACCAAGTGATATATAATATAAAAAAATAAATGTATAAATAAGTGTTGGTGTATATGAATTATATTATTAAAATAAAATATGAAGTGAATATGTTAGTGGGTATAAATTGTGGTACAAGATGACCATTGGTTTTTGTAACCTATATGACCATTAGTTCTTGTAACTCTTATAGTCATTAGTTTCCTTCTTGTAACTCATATGACTGTTAGTTTCTTATAACTTATATAACATCTATCACATTCATCTACCCATATTACCATCCCTCATTCTACCCATTGATTATATGGAAAACTTCTTCATCTATGAGTTGAAAAATATGAAGAGAATAATGTAAGAAAGATGAGAAGTTTATATTAAGGTTAGTGCAGTGAAGAGAGAGTTAAGACAAAGAAAATATTCTAAGTCTTCAACTATATTCACTATATAAAAGAGAATATGTATATGTTGAAGGAAGGTGTTTTTATGTGGAGCTTTGGAGTCTTCAACAAAATTCAAAGTTACTTGAGTTGGACGACGTTGTTGGGCTGTTGTATCCTGGAAGGGACAAGTCAAGAGTATTACTGCTGAATCGGTGTAGATTATGTCGCAGTGAGCTTGAATCTCTTTAAAGAGAGCGATATATATGCGCCTCAACCTAAAAATTATTTATTCATTTTTGTCATTTTTATTTTTAACTGTAATATTTTATATTTATAATATATTACACCAGCAATAAGTAGAGGGTTTAAACAATGCAATTTTTTAGCGTAGGAGATTCAAATGAACCCTCAGCCCTCGTGCTACCTGTAGGGCCAATCATCAAACATTCCATAATATACATTATTAATTTTTTTGATTTTTTTTCACACTAGGTGAGGTGACCCTTCTCCCATTTTTTTATTCCTTTTCTGTTTTTTTCTCCTTCTCTCTGGGTATTAAATTATTGTTTCGGATGTCACTACCAATACATTTTCTTCACACTCTGTAACCAAAGATTCACACTAATCTGCTGTGAGCACAACACAAGTTGGTAAACGCTGAACTCTTCTGCATTAGTAGTAGTTAAAGGTAAAAGGTTCACTTAATCAACATTTATTTGCTTTAAAAGTTTGAAACTTGTTGTGCTTTTTGCTTCTCCCCTTTTTCTCATCCTTTTTAGGGGTCCTGCAACATGCACTTTTTTCCTTTTTAACTTTGTGTAATAGAGGTACATAAATGGTAATAGGAATAACCAACTTTCTTGCTGATTGGTTCTTTGTACTTCTTGCTCTGACCTTCTGAGGACGGAAGATACTCTTAATTGAATTTAGGGGCTTGAAATCGTCCTTCTCTATAAAGTTGTGTGTTTATTAAATTGAGGGGAAAAGGGGAGGGGATTACAAGTTTAGAATCGAACCCTCGCCAAGGAGGTAGTCAACCAACTAACTGAGCTATTAAGAGGCGAAATAAAAAATTGTTCATGTGTCTATTTTCTTTTGAATCTACTAGTAATAAATTTGTTCCACTACTGGCAATATTGGCCATTACAACTTTTCCAGTGGTCCTGACTTGTGAAGACTGTAACCTCTAAATTACTTAATTGCCAAAATTAACCACAAATTTCAAGATTCAAGTATCTTTATAGCTTTCTTGAGAGTAATTCTGTGTTGTTCAAGACAAAATGAGGATATTCCTGGGTAACATTTCTTAATTTTGGATATACAGTGGTGGTGTGATAGTAAAATGCCTAGTTTGGATTTATGGTCTCTAATTTTTTACCCAATTGGATAGGGTTATTGTTCCAAGATTTAACAAGGGAAGCAAGAATGTGGCATGCATTTTGCCATTATTGAGAATCATGAAGCAGAATTCTACTTCCTTGAGGAATTCGGGTTTATATACAAGCCCAGCAACACCAGAATATGGAGATAATAATGTTAGAGGATTTCAGAAGGGATGGAGTTCCGAACGAGTCCCGTTGCCAACTAACAGTGGCAGGAGGCATATTAGTACCACTGCATTGATGCCTTTCAATAGTGGAAGGACAGTGCCTTCAAAATGGGATGATGCTGAAAGGTGGATTACTAGCCCAGTGTCAAGTTATGGTCCAAACGCGCAAACCTACAGGGGCCCCAAGTCAAAAAGTGGACCGCTTGGGGCACCTGGCCTAATGTACTTACCAAACTATTCGCCCTCTGTGCCAGTCCTAGAAAGTGGAGGTATAAGTAACTTCATTGCAAATTCACCATTTACTACTGGTGTGCTAGTGCCTGATGGAGTATCCATTCATTATGGTGCTGGTGGAAACTCTGGTGGTCTATATGCTCAGAATAGTATGGCTCGAGCAACTAGTGCTCCCGGTCTGTCAGATTTGTTCAGTGAATCTTCAGTACCAAGCTCTCCAGGTATGCATTTCTTCCCGTTTGCAGATAATTTGCCTGCTTTGTACTGGCTGTCATAGCTCGAGTCTTCTGCATTAACCTAATTCTGTTGAATCTTAATTTGTTGTCAGACAGCATTAGCAATAGCATCTTTAGTTCTTGCAAAAGAAGGTCTCAATGGTCCTACTGTCTCTATATCAGGTTTCAATTAATTTAAGTCAACTTAGCTATTAGAGTCTCGACACTTGAAAGGAGGAAGTAGCCAGCAGATTAAAGAATTGGGATCGAGAATAACTAATAGCTGATACATGGATAGTCAAGTAACTGTCCTCATAAGTTTTAGCAAGTGATGATGACAATATCTCATGTTACACAAGATCTAAGCGGTCAGGAGTTTCTGTCATATGAATCAACACTTATGTGCTATGATGGATGAAAAAGCAGTATGCAATTAATAGTATAACTGATTTAGATGAATAATCATCTTGTTATGCTAGGATTGCAAGTAGTGTTGGTTCATCTTTAAAAATATGTCGTTTTGACATGAATCATGCTTCTTAACTACACTTAGTCCCTTCCTCGTTTCCATCATTTGTTTGAAGTTTGTTAAGCATTAAATTTACCAGCAAAAGGCCATTGTTCAGTTATGAAACGATATTGTGAAATCACATAACACGCAAGGTGTTGAGAGAGAGATATGTTTTCAGTAAAGTGCACCACTATAATTTAATGATATTGTATTGTTGTTGATGAACAGATGATGATACAAAGGAGCCAGATTCTGTTTCCTGTGGAGTTTTGAGGAGAGATATGGCAACACAAATGAGCTCTGATAGCAGTACACATACTTCTCCCCAAGAAAGGTCATCTTCAATCCCTCCTGGAGTGGAGCAGAGCAAGCAGCATGCTACTAAAGTCGAGATTAGAGACGTTCAGGTTGACAAAGGAGCCACAATTTCAGGGCTATCTCGGAAACGCCGGGTGAGGAAACCCAAGAAACAATTACCAGACGTGAGTGAGCCTATTTCACCGTGGGATGTTGCAGATGGAGCAAAGAGTATGTCAAAGTAAGCATGCATTTCCGGCTTGTTTTTGCTTCTTATGTTTGCTAGTGCAGCTATCTTGTCCTTCCATACAAATTTTCCACATTTTCAAGGGAACTGGTATGCCCTTATGTGTACCTCCACAAGTTTGTAGAAACTATTTGGACGAAATACACAGCCTTCACCTCACTGCTAGATTCCCAAATAAAAGATTGATGAACATTCTTTTGGCGATACATATGTATACCTATAGTAGGTGCATTTGTCAAGGAGCAAAAATACTATATATGAATAACGGTTGTCTTTCCTCATCATTTTGTGAAGGTCGCAAAGAGAGGAAGCCAGGATCGCTGCTTGGGAGAACTTGCAGAAGGCCAAAGCAGAAGCAGAAATCCAAAAGCTTGAGGTCCGTTGGACATATATCCAGACACTTAATACTTGTTTGAAAGAATAGGAGAAGCATAAAAAAGACTTACCTATTATTTGCATTTCAGATGAAACTAGAAAAGAGGAGGTCAGCATCCATGGATAAAATTCTGAACAAGCTTAGACATGCTCAGGTGAAGGCCCAAGATATGAGACGTGCAACTTCGGAAAGTCAGCCTCGAAGGGATTCCCACAGAATCATTCCGTTTCGGGAGTATTTCAAGATTGCATCATTTGGCAGTTGCTTTGTTTGCCGTATCCCTTAATTTATGTACAGGCACGAGGCGTTCTAAAGTAATATTTGTAGGTTCTTGTCAAATCTAGAGCGTCAGCTGTTATTGGTGATCTAAAGGAACACACAACTCATTACTGACTGCTTTATGCAGTATTCGACCTACTTGTTGGCTATGTAGTATTCAGGCCTTATCACTGTGTCTCGTGGAATTCTATACATCTGATATCTCCACAATACCCACAAAGAATACAAATGCCAAGACAGACTAGACTGGTTATGGTACACAACTCATAAAATGCAGCATGTTCTAGTCATATCCCTTACTAGAACACCAACATAATATATATTTCACTAAGTATAATCGAGAAAAGCTGGAAATCTTTTATTCGACAGATTTCAGTATTCCAATCCCAATAATGCAGATTTTTGACAGCAATCAGTGTATTTAAAAACTTCATTTTACTTCTTTGCACAACCAACTACTCATTAATTAGGCAGGCATTTTGGGGGTATTAAATTTCGGACTTCCACAAACATAAATCCAGGCCACCATTCATCTTTCAGAATGGATTTCCAAAAAAACTCTAGCTTTCAAGTACAAAAACATACCCAATTGGTTATGTTGCATCACTAATATGTTTATACTTCTGGATATGGAATTAACACCCGTTCTTTGTTTCTTCAATACGTTTAATACAAAGGATCAAGCATGAAGTGAATTGCACAATCCATCAGCACTGCTTCTTCAATTAAATTAAGTATCAGTAGCACATGTATTATGATGTCCACCTAATATAAGCTGAGATACTGGATATGGAATTAACACCAGTTCTTTGTTTCTTCAATACGTTTAATACAAAGGATCAAGTATGAAGTGAATTACACAATCCATCAGCACTGCTTCTTCAATTAAATTAAGTATCAGTAGCACATGTATTATGATGTCCACCTAATATAAGCTGACATAAGTATGACATCTATGTTGTCACCCATTGGAAATTCAGACAGCCTTTGACCTCCTGCAACACAAAGCTACTAGGGCCTGAATCTCATATCTGATCTTGAACGCCTCCTATCCAACCAGGCCAGCTAGTAGGGCCTGTATCTCATATCTGATCTTGAAGGTCTCCCACCACCCAGGCCGTAACCCCACTGTCAGAACCAGAAGAAAATCACATATTTAAAGGTTATCACCAGAATTCTCATCTATTCAATTAAGGACTAACAATAACAGGCTGGTCATAAGTTTAAGGCTATAATATCCATGTGAAACAAACTTGGAGAAAAAAACAGAACAGAAAGAGGTATGATGAGCATGATAATAGATTGTTGTCTTTTTGAGGATGGTAAATAAATATGAAAATAGAAAAAATTATCCTTTAGTTGAAATTACTGCACTGAAACGATAGGAAGATGCCGTAAAGATGAGTGCGTTCTTTCATTCACATAAAAAGCATCACATTGCATTGTCATGCTTAGGTCAGTCAGATAAAGAGAGCAAATTGAATTATTGTCCAGGCAGAAGTCAGAACCACAGCTGAAAGACTCGGGAAGGTCAGTTATTGACCATTTTTCTGGCAGGAGAGGGGAGGATTGAAAGTTCAAAATCACCCAAAGAAAAAGTCAAGGTGGAACAGTGCCTTTCCATGGCAATAAATGTTTAACAATATAAAAGCAATTCTATCGTGGAGGTCAAAGTTAAAGATAAGACAACAGAAGTTATTTGACTGGCTAAGTAAGGTTCAAATACTTACATCATCATAATCTAGGCCCCCATACATCCTTCCATAAGTACGCATAGGACCACCATATCCCCCATATGCTTCAGGAGCAGGAGGAGGAGGATCCATCATGTAATTATTACTTGGACCAGCATCATCAAGGGGAGTAGCAGAATCGATTGCAACCTAAAAAGCAAGGTAGAACTAGGAATAAGACTCCTCATAGCATAACATGAAAGGTCACTGATATTAGTGAAGCCAAAAGGGTAACCCAAGCTGCTTTACATTTAGGAGGGCAAGATTCAGCAGGTTTTTCAAACTCCCAAAAGGCCAACTTCACATTAATGTATATATTTTGGTTTGCCAAGCAAACAGTTATAACTTTATCATCTTCAGAACAATGTTCTATTGGCCGCATTGCAGTACATCCAGGTTAATGGCCAGGTAAGTTTCAACAGATTTAAATTTTGCAAAAAACAGTTAACCTTTCAAACAATCTTATAATGCCAGCAGAACATCCTAGGCAATAGCCAGGGAGTTTTAAGATATCATCCATCAAGTGACTCTAGATTGGACAAGAATTTCCCCCACATTTGGTCGTTCAGGTCATGGATTTTCCTCATCCATGGTCTCATTTCAAAATCTGGTCAACTGACACTTCAAGGTCTACAGATTTCATTGGGGGGTGGAGATACAAAAGATAAAGAAATATCTTTTCCTTGGAATCCCAACAAATACCTGTTGTCCACATATCTCATGAGGCCTTCGAGAAACACGATCTGCAACACCATCATCAGCAAATGTGACAAAACCGAACCCTCTGTGCCCTGGTCTTCTTGGATCCTACAGGAGATAAGCATCGCCATCATAACAGAATTATACAATTTACTAAGTTACTTGAGACGCGATCTGTTACCGAAAAAGAAATAAAATAAGAGAATTTTTACCTTTGGGACATATACATCTAAAACACGGCCAAATCTACCAAAATACTGGCGAAGATCTTCAGTTGTTGCCTCTTGAGGTAGTCGACCAACAAAGATCTTCTGGCCCATGCCGCCACGAGATGGAAATCCTCCACCTCCTCCTCCTCCTCCTCCTCCTCCTGATTTATTTAATTAAATTCTCTTAGTACAAAAATTGTGTCAAATAAGAGGCATGATTGATGGTGTGTCATGCTTAAGATATATTTGTCATTATTTACTGTTCATTGTTGCTTACTTACTTCCATACATAGAACTAGGATGATCATATAAGGTGGGAGCACCAAGCGCACCATATCTAGTAGTTGCACTCATATAGGCATTATATGCACCATATCCTCCTCCACCCTGAGACATCCGACTAACAGGTCTGAAATCTTCTTCCTAGAATCATCAGCAGAAAATGTAAATTTTAATGAACCATCACAGAACATGTGAAATTCAATGACATCTGGAATAACACCGGAGATACATCAAAGTTCGGTTATGCATAACTTGCCTTGGGTGTTGCTCGGTCAACCACAATTGTGGAACCTCCCAGTTCGTGGGTGTCACTCATCAGATCATCAACTGATTCTGGGTAAAGAAACCAAAAGTGACTCAATTCAAAGGAAAATCATTACAAAACTGACTAGAAACTGCAGTCTGCAGAAGACAATGATAAGCATGCATGTAGGAGACTTCCCTGCCTCTATCTGGGTGAAAAAATAAAAACAAGGTGGTAGCTACCACATCCCTAGACAAAATTAACCGAAACTCATTCATCTGAGACAAAGCACAATTACAAGATTGTTTAAAGGTGATAAGATGTGTTGAAGTGTGTGACCATCTCATCTATAAGCTTAAGCTTTATCGAGAGCACACTTTTATTAGTTAATTATATAGGGTGCGGGTCTGATTCTTTTCATGGGCCAAGCACGTGAAAATTCTGTTTGATATGGGTGGCGGTGAGATTCGATCTCAAGACCTCTGCCTGCTCATGTTGAAGTGTGTGACCATCTCATCTAAAAGCTTAAGCTTATTAGTTAATTATATTCTTAACAAGATGCATATGTAAGTCAAAATACCTAGAATATATAACTAGACTGCCAGTGGAACAGTTCCGGATGGGGTGGGGGTATACAAATTGACACAGAATAACTAGAGGAAGAATCAAGGCTGAGATCAAATCAGAAAAGTTGCTGATCTACAGTAGAAACTCTTCAAATGTCAAATTCATTTCTCATCATCCCATGATCAGGCTCAAAGTAAGCACCCCGAAAGGCAATATACCGAGTGTGGAATTAATGGAAAAATTGTTGATCTCCTAATTGTTTTTTTTTTACCGTTGTAGGGTGACGGGTTAAGCACCTGACCAGTGAGCTGTTTATTCCAAAATGACAAAAAATGTTTCAATATCAGGAAAGTGAACTTCTTGGAGTAATGGATTAATGCATAAAGGTTGAAGATCTTCATATCTATAACAATTAAAAGAATTTATGCTGAATCAAGGTAAACTGATTGATCCAGATTTTAAGAATTAACTGCACTAATTGAGCACTTGTCAGAGTGAATGCACTGCAGATAGATTCAGAGAGAAATATTGCAACTACGACACTCCGTGTTTTCCCTCCCTGAAATATAAGATGGATACATGGGATTTTCCCAAACACAGTTCCTACAAGATACAATTCCTGGAAAATAGAGAAAATAACTGCAAAAATTTAGGATGGGAGACATACCAGCATTTGCAAAAGTAATAAACCCAATTCCACGATGTCCCTTGGTAGATGGATCCTACAGATTGGGTAAGATTAATTAGTACATCATGAATCCTATAATTTAATGCCAGAACAAGACAGCACATATATGAAGTAATAATGTCACAAAGAGACAGGGGAACCTTTGGCATGTATAGATCTGTTATTTCACCGTACTTCTCAAAATAACTGTAAAAGAAAATCAAATAAGCTATTAAATTCTAATAATGAAACAACCAACCAGCTAGAAATAATCTTAATAAAGCAATCCTTCACAAATACCCTCTGAAAGTAGCTTCAGACACAGACGGAGGAATCCTAGCAACGAAAATCCTGGTCACTTTCTTTGCAGGAGCCCTCATCTCCTCCTGCCAAAAAAAATTGTAGCATCAGTATTAGACCTTACAAAGTATTTAGAGGCACAATGATTATAAAAATGGGCTTTCACTTGTTAAAATGCAATTTTCATGTACGAAGAAATCAATATAAAACCATGATAACCATTCCATTTTAATCAACTCAAGCCACTGCAATATATTAATAGTTGGCCTAGATAGTAATGGCACCGCATTGGATGAAATACTAAAGTAACAAAGAAAGTTTTTTCATGAAGTGTAAGAGCAGTGCACCTTCGGTGTCGCCACTTTCACTTCTAGCATTCTGTTTCCAAGAAAGTGCTCCTTAGACAATGCATTCTGCATCAAACAAATCCACAAGTATATGAATCTAGTTCGCAAAAAAAACCACAAAATCATAAATAAGCTCTACCAAGGACAAAGAACAAGGCCATAAAATGTAAGAAAGTTTTACTTGAGAGTAGTATGCAAATATGATTGCAACAATGACATGAAAACCAAATTAAAACCAAAATCACCTTAGCATCCTCAACTGTAGCAAATGTGACATAGCCGAATCCACGAGAACGACCAGTAGCACGTTCCTAGATGAAGATCAATACTCGTTAGTCTTCTTCAAGAAGATAAGAAATTTTGCGCCAGAAAGCATATTAACTTTCAAAGCACTAAAATGCAAATATACAATAGCTAAATAAACTAGACAGCACACTTTTGGGAAATTAGTAAAAGAGATCAATCTCCAGATACACTGTTGATTTTATGTTTAAAATTGTCAGGAAATCAATCAATAAAATGATTGGGAAAACACGCCAGAATCAAAATACACAAACATGGCAATGTTTGGTACTCCCTCCGTCCCAATTTATGTGAAGGTATTAGATTGGGCACGGAATTTAAGAAACCTTTTGGAACTTGTGGTCTAATATAAGCTATAGATTTTTGTGGGTTTATAATTCATCTCATTAGGGGTAAAATTGGTAGCTTAAAGTTAAATTGTTACTATTATGGAAAAATGTCATTTTAAAGAATGACTAGAAAGGAAAGAGTACCACAAAAATTGGGATGGATTGCAAGTTAAGGCAGTTAATCTATTATCAAGAAGAAGAAAAATTTGGTCCTTGGAGCACTATATTCCTTCAGAAATCCAGAAGGCCTTCTGCAACTGTAAACGTTGATATAAACACCTCCATGGGGATGATGAATACTTTAGTTTACCCAGTGTTTTAGATGGCGAAAGGCGACAAGGGCCTGCCTCGCCACGCGGCGAGGTGCTCGCCTTTTCGAATTGAGGTGCCAATTAATAGCAAAAACTGAAAATACTTAATGCATATATAAATAACCAAAATCTCAAAAGTAATAACATATTAGCAAATATTTCAATTCAAAAACTAACCGTAGAACTTGAATGACTCAATGATTCATGAGACAATTGACAAACAATACTAGAACTCAAGAACTTGAATGACTAAGTTGAGTTGGACAGAAATTGAAATAGGACATAGATTTTTTTTTTTTAAAAGGCAGATTTGCAGTCTGCAGATATAAAAAAACAGACCATAAAATAAGAATAGAGGAATGACTAATAGAGTAATAGGAAGCTGTGCACATTGACCTACCAGAAAAAAGAAGAGAAGAACAAGAAGAAGCAAAAAAAAACGCTGACTGTGGAAGAAGAGAAGCTGCAAAGCAGAGGAGAAAGAAGAAGAAGACGTACCTAAAGGCCGAAGCTGAGGAGAAGAGAGTCACGTGTTAAAAGAGAAAATTGAAGAAGAGAGTCGTGTGTTAAAAGAGAAAATTGAAGAAGAGAGTCGTGTGTTAAAAGAGAAAATTGAAGAAGAGAGTCGTGAGTCCCATCTGTTTTTAAAAACCCTAATATTGCCATTTAATTATTAAGCACGTTTGTCTTTTTCAAAAAACTAAATAAAAACGCAACAATGGTGCCACGTCACCACTCGTCATTTCTCGCCATTGATCGCCTTTGTGAGGTCGCCACGCCTTGCCAGTAAATAGGCGCAAAGCCTTCGGCTCGCCTCTCGCCAAAGGCGATCGCCCTTGAGAACACTAGTTTACCTTATCAGGAAAGAACCCAATGCACTTGAATCTACTAGACAAGATATTCTTCTGAGATCCAGTTCTTGTGTGCCCACCAGTGAGTTCTCAAGAAATAAACCAGTTTGGGACACGTTCTTGGTTGAATTCCAAAAGTGACATCTCTTAGGTGGATAGTTCTGCTAAATTTTCCAAGTAGTGAAGCAACAACCTTTTCCTAACAACAACTAGAACAGAGTTTGGGGCAATAGAAATCCTTATGTTTTTGTTTCACCATACATGATATAACAGCCCTAATTTTTTCACAAGAAAGCTATGCACTAAAAGCTGCAAGCTGTGCACCAGACCATAAATATATAACCTTCTGTAACCCAGATTTGATATCTCAATTTCTGATATAAGCACAATTAACAAACAAAAAAGAAACAGCATTTTCAACACTAAAAACAAGACTGCACCCAGTTAGGTCATGAAAGTCTTTGGAACTACAGTATATCTGAAACAATGCATATCATAAAAGTCAAAGTAGCTGCGAATACTGACCTTCATCACAATACAGTCCTCCAAGTCTCCATATTTGATCATATATTCCCTTAGACCTTCTGTATCCACGTCCCATGGGATGCCTAAAACCTAAAAATCAAGAAGCAATCACATTAAGATTACAATAAAAGAAAAACATGCCTTGAAAATCAAGAAAGAAACCAAAACTTACCACAAGCTTCCTCTCCGACATGGTAACAAAAACTTGTCTGACAAATTGATTAGCGGAGAGTGGAAATCGTTGGATATACACTCAACTCGCTCTCGCGATCTCACCACACCTCTCTCTATAAATGAATCGCTCACACACGATGATTCTTCCTGCAGGTAACAGACACACACCTCTTTCTCACACACAAATATCATCATCATCATATTTCAGAACAAACTCACCAATTTCTCTAAGATCTTCAGATACCAAAGAAATTAAAATCACAACGAGTACTAAATTAGATTTACGCGCTCCACTGACCTTCTTGATTCCGATTACCAAAACCCTAATTCGCTCTCTCACTCCGCTCCGCTCGGCTCGCTCGCTCTTCCTCGCGCCGCTCAGCTCCTTCAAACCCCAAGCCACTGCTCTTATCTGTCCCGTGTTTTTTATATAATATATATAATCCCTTCACGGCCAAGGCTTTTATTAAAATTACAATTATAACCCTTCGCGCATTGATATATAATCCCTCAATGGAAATTGTCTCGCCATTATTTTTGGAGATAATATTAAATATGAAATATTGTCTTGAGGGAAATTGCCTCACCGTTATTTTTGGGATAATATTAAATATTTTCTTAAGTTTGATTTTTGCAACAATAATCTTTCTTTTAATTTAAAAAATTACGACCACCTCTCCATTATTTGTGGAAGCATGTGTCATATTATCGTTAATTAAAATGCATTTTTTAAAGTCATTTATAAATGTGTGCGTGAATTATGGACATAAATATTGTTCAGTTATTTATGATACGAGGTTATAATATTCACAACGAATTTATAAATATATAATTTTAAAATCCTAATAAAAGTATTGAAGAATTCTTCAATATTGCTAGTTGAATAATACGTGTTGCTATTGAGAAAGTTTAGTCATATTTTGTTAAATAATACTCCCTCCGTTTCACAATGAATGACCTCATTTCCTTTTTAGTCAGTTTAAAAAAGAATGACCTCTTTCTTTTTTTGGTAACATTTTACTTTTAGCTTTCCACGTGGCATGTTTAAGACCACAAGATTAAGGGCAATTTTGTACATTTGACATAACTTTAATGTAAGACATTCAAAAGTCTTCTTTAATTTCTTAAACTTCGTGCCAAGTCAAACCAGACCATTCTTTTTGAAACGGAGGGAGTACCAATATATATGTAATTTGGAACTCTGTATCACTGCCAAGGCAAAGATTTATCATGTGGCTTACAACACAAAAGCGTCTACTTACAAAAGAAAGGTTGATACATATGAATATACAAGTTGAAATAATTGTTTGCTACCTATGTCAAGAGGCAGTACTGGAAACAAATAAGCATTTGTCTGTTGACTGTGAATATGCCACAAGGGTGAGGACAACACTCCTAAGTTGGACCAACACTCCCATTCCTACAGCAGACTTGAGTACTACTTTGGAGATGATCAAAAAGAAGCATTGGAAAAAGTTCAAGAAGGAAGTGATAGCAGCCCGGTGGGAAGCCATGATATACCACATTTGGAAAGCAAGGAATTGGAAACAATTCAAAGGAATAAGTATTCAATATGTTGATATAGTGGGGAATGTAATATGTGAAATTGAAGTAAGGATAGAAATGTATAAGAATACAAAAAGAGCACTTAGATGTAGGAGTTTTTGGCACAAATTATGTAACTAGTTTGCTTTTCTGTTTTGATTGAGGCAACCCTCCATCCTACATAGAGGGAATGAAGGGTGGTGCTCACAGATTGTAAGTGGTTTTTTTGTTAATAGATATATTCACATTGTTTGTCAAAAAAAATATTAATAATAATAGAAAAAATCACGCCCTATACACATTTAAGAGTCAATTTTATGGATTTTAAATATACTTTTAAAAAATTCTTACTTATAACAGTTTATTTACGAGTTATGACATATCATTTAAAGTTAATTTTATTTAAAAAACAATTTCCATTTATTTAATAAATGATTAATCTATTTATGGTTTTTTATTATTAATTAATAATATGTAATTAAATTGATTTATGTTCCTTTTTTAAATCTGAAATTATCAGTTACATAGATATAGGGATTCATCTACAACACGTTTCCTTCTTTACCGTTACCACCTCCCATACGTCAATCCCACCCCCTCCAAACCGCCCATACGTCAATCCCTCCCCCCTCCCCCCACGCTCATTCAACTCTACACGCCATTAACACACTAGCCCACTTTTACCTTCATCTATCACATCTTTCTCACCACCAAACTACACCAACTTCACAATCCTCTATTCAATTTAGTTTTTTCAACAAAATCATGTCGAAGAAAACAGTTGTAACTCCTCAAAAGATCCCTCGATTAGTCGAAGGAATTTCTACGGATGAAGTTCATGCTCCATCTTTCAACATTTTGACTCAAACATCGCCGCCAAACATTGTTGAAACTCTGGCTAGGGGTGGTTCATCTCTATTAAAGATCAAAAACAGAAAAAACGACTCAAATAAAAGGGTGAGTCCGATAAATCGAAAGGGGAAGAAGAGGAAGGGGAAAAATGTTGAAACCCCTTTTGACTCTGATTCTGATTTTGTTACTGAATCAAAAAAAGGAAAAAAGAAAAAAAAAACAATGAATGTTGAAGTTGCTCAGTCGTCAAAACCATCTACAAGAAGATCCAAAATCCAAAAAAAAAAGGAATCAGAAGTCCCAATACCTAAAAAAGACAAAAAAAATTGTTAGGGTAAATATTATATTCAATTTATTTTCACATTATTAACACTACTGTTTTTTTTCTAAAAATATCACATTATTCTTATATTATTTTCGAAATAGTTGTTTGGATAAAACGTGTATGAAATCTGATTAATATGTGTATGATTCTGATTAAACAGTTGATTGTTGGATATTGTATGATTTGTGATATAATAGTGGTATACAAATGGTATGAGTTGTGTTTTAACAGTAGTGTGATTGTCTATTAACCGTATATACAAAGAATGAGGATGGCGCGATCACTGAGAGTGAAGTTAATGGTACGGTTGCTAGCAAATTTGGTGGACCTCGCATAGCAAAATAACATGTTTCGGATATCACCAATTATCCTACACCAAGACCACGTACAAGAAATTTGAAATAGTTGATTGCACCTTCTACTTTTTTAGAATTACATGTTTTTTTGTTTTTTTTTTACTTTTGGACAACTTTTTTGTGTTTTAAGTATTTGATGATATATAATATCATATGTTTTCTTCCAATCAGATACCATCGACATATGAATTGATGTTTGGCAATTACAATTTCAGGATACTAGTAATATACAGACTTCATACATTTGGATTCACTATTTTAAAATATCAGTGTGTATCCAAATTGTACAATTAATGGATGAAACGTGTGTGAAATTTGATTAATATGTGTATGACACTGAATTTAATGTTTGATGGTTGGATACTGTATTAATTGTGATATAATATTGGTGTACAAATGATATGCATTGTGTGATTATATGAAATTGATTTATTGTTGGTATAATATGTGTGATATAAATTGAATTTCGTGTTGGAATGAAATTTGAATAAGATTGGTATAAAGTTTGTTATATATTACACTATATATACACTATCTTATATATTAATCTGGAATAAATTTTATTTTCAAGTATATTAAATCTGTATGAATAATTAATGAATTGCGTATATGAAATCTGGAATCTGAAATTTGAAATTTGAAATTTGTATAAATATTTACACTATCTTATATATTAATCTGGAATAAATTTTATTTCCAAGTATATGAAATCTATATGAATAATTAATGAATCATGTATATGAAATCTGGAATCTGAAATCGGAAACCTATACAAATATTTACACTATCTTATATATTAATTTGGAAAAAATTTTATTTCCAAGTTTATGAAATCGTAAAGAAATCTACATTAGCTTTCTTTTAATCTAAAAAAACCCGCACACCAACATCGTTGTGGATACTAACAGGGGAACATCTATCACTAACTATATATTTTATCTCTATATTGTGAATATTAACATCTATCATTAGCTGCGATGTCATCGCACTTACTAGACCACTATAAAGACTAGAATACTCATATATAATCCCCTCCATCTGAAAATCAACATATTTCCCTGTTTCATTAAAAAAAAATAACAATTAGTCTTACATAATACCAAAAAAAACAAAATTATACACACTTGTCATTATTTTATCATACAAATATCATTCAGACAGTAAACTACAAACAAATTTCATTAAAAAATAAAATTTCAGATTTCATACCCACTTAATACAAATTTCATACATACAATTATCATTTATACCAAATTTATACATTTCTGATACCAAATAGTTCATTCCTTTCACACAAATTTATACATAATTGACAAAACTTATATAAACAATAATATTTCAAATTTCATACCAACTTAAAACACTTTTCATACAATTATTCAAAATTCTAAATAACTTTTTTTACTAACTAGTTAACACACTTTCATACCAACTTAAAACAACTGTTATACAATTCTTCAAAATTCTAAATAACCTTTTTTTCACATTAGTGAATACACTTTCATACCAAATTCATTACACTTATACTAACAAATTCATTCAAAACTATACATTTTAATTTATTTTTTCAGGAAAAAAAAAGTAATCGATATTATAATTTTAATCTACGTACCCAATCTACAACGATAAAAATATTTATATGTTATACATTAATACTCAAATCTTTCATATATTGCGACAACTTCTCACGAAATCATTGTTTTGCCAGTATAAAAAATAACCATAAAACAAAAAATATGATGACATTAAACCCCTACCAAAAAACAATAACTTACCAAGAAAATCATTGATATTACAGTTTCACAAAAACTAATACGTATTATGAACAAAACGTATTGTTTTATAAAAAAAACATATCACATTCAATATAATGACGATTTACAAAAAAAAATCACAAAATGTGATTTACAGTTTCATCTCACTGAAATCCAAATACAAATAGTAAACAATTAAAAATACTAACCTGAAGGATCCCATCTTCCGCCATGTTTAATTAATATTGATACGTAGTTGTCCATCACAAAAAAAATCAGAATTTTTCAAACAAAAAAAAAACTTCAATTAGTCGCCAGTGACAAAATTTCTGGAAGAAAATCGAAGAAAGAGAAATGTGGAAGAAAAATGGATAAAATCAGATTTTTGAATTAATTTTAACAAATTAGAGTGAATTAAGGAAACTGAATATTCTTAATTAGTTTGAAATTCCTTAATTCATGTTAATTAATAATTATCTTAAATTAATTCAAATTTAATTGACACCCCTATTTCCTTTTCTTTTTTTTTCATTTTTTCCTTCATACACGTTTAATTTTATTTTATTTTTATCTTTTTATTCTTTTCAAATCAAATGTTTTTAATTATTAAAAATAACTTTTTTTTAATAATCTGTTAGAACCTGAAATTTTAATGTTACAACTTGAAAGCTTGATTCTACTGCTATAACTTAAAAATATTAGTCTAATATATGTCATATATGAAATTTTCACATAATAATATATATGTTAGCGAACTTTATATGAGATTAATTTTGAAATTTTCTATGACATTAATATTTTTTGTAAAAATATTTTCAATTATATTTTGAAGAGGATGCTTTTATTTTTATATAAATAAATGTAATTTCAACAACGTATTCTACCATTTTAAAAAAAGTTATAGCCTCAACTATCAAACATCACAAAAGAGTACAAATAACACAATTATTAATATACAATAGACTATGCGATTTTACCTTTGTTTACCAAATAAAAAATGGTTAAAGATAAAATAAATTTTTTGATCAGATTTATAGATCAATAAATACATTATTACTAAGCTTCAATGGACCATCATGACGCTTGCCAAAAGAGTTCAAATTTTGTTAAATATATTAATATAATTTGAGTAACAAGCCTAATATACAAATATGTGAATCTTGATTAATGGAGGAATAATATCCAATTTCCAATAAGATATCAAAGTAGACGAGAATTGTCAAGATGATGTACCAACATTGGTGAACAAATTAGCATCTCCCAAACAAATTGCATTAATATACTCTTGGGGACCATGAGCCGGCATGCCTGGAAATACTAGTCCATACAACCTAAGTGCTTGTAGAAGCAAGTTTTCTCTGTATTCTGTTCCATACAAATATGGAAGAAGAAAGCTTCTCACCAACTCCCACAATGCATCCACCCTCTTTGATATTAGTGATCTCACAGAAAAGTAATTCCTGTCTGGTTCTTCTGACACAATCTATTTCACATAATGCAAAAGTTCCTATTAGTAATCTTGAAAATAAAACAACAAACACATTCGTTAGGTAGATTTCTCAGATGATCACACTCAACTAATACATATAGTAGTATCTCAAACTCAAAAGGTCAATATTTTTCAACAAAGAATGTGATTTTCTGAGGTAATAAGTATTAGTTGAGTGACTAGCTGAGAAATCAACTCGTAGATCTTAAGATTTTTTTTTTGTACTTACCTTTCCTTCGTATATGCTGTTATAGTAAAGGCACGTTCCGAAGTGTTTAAAAAGCATGATGGAGTCATCATAAGGCAATCTGGACACAACATCATGACTGTAAACAAATCTATAATATTCAATGCCATAATTCCTTAAATTTTCCTTCATGAAATCGCCAAACTCGGCATCACCTACTCTTGGCTGCCCAAATGTGTAAATTGCTTCCAATCTTTCCAGTATAAAAGTCTCATTATGAAATGCAAGAACTGCAGCAAAAAGAACTGCAAGCGCACCGCCTAAGCTGTGTCCTGTTAGGACAAACTTTGTTTGCTTATTTTTCTGTAAGAGGTCTCTTAGTTTTTCCCTGATTGTGTAGTACGCTAATGGGCGTTGGTCGTCTTGTGTAATATTGGGAGGCCATTTTTTATCTTTCTGTAAGCCCAGAGCCTTCATGAAACCGCTGTGGACTTTGCCCATGCCCTGGAATTCGTACCAAGATATGTCGAAATCCGTACTCCAATCATCTGAATTGAAGGGTTCTGTACCTCTAAATGCCACAATTATTACGTCTGGACAAGGAGTTTTATCATGAAATAAGAATCCTTGAGTTGATTTCTTTTCGTGATATTCTGCCAAAGCACAAGTTTGTGTTAGAGAAACTCTACTCATCAGGGCTGGAAATTGTTCTGCCTCTATCCCAATTTGTATTTGTTACACTTCCGACATTAGCCAATTGTACGAAAAGAGATGAAAAATGCGTTAATGGTAATGTAATAGCATTTGGCATATTATTTAAGCTATCCATTCAAATTAACTTGTATACTTATCTTACCATTCCAAAAATCATAGGAACCCAACAAATCCATCTGCAGAAACAGCACATATTAGTACTAGAGTAAGACAGTAGTTGAACAAAATAGTTATTAACCTAACACGAATGTATATGAGCTAGCTAGCATACCAGTTAATACTAACAAATACAGAACACAAGTTTTTAAAAAGTATTCTAATTCGTTTTTTCCTGTTAATTGAATTAGCTAACTGAAATATGAGTTAGGGGACCTTCCATTGATCTTCAACAGTTGCTCGGATGAAGGCTTTATTCTCGTAGGCTACTTTTGATGCCACTGCAGAAAGCGCAACAATATACGTTTTATCCCCTGGTTTGAACTTCTTATGACTATTCACTCTTTGGTCTATAAATCCAATAGCAGAGAGATAGCTGGCTGACTCTTTGTCTGGCATCTCTACCTTCCCTATCAACCGTAATCCGGATTAATTTCAATTTACACATTGTAACGGTAAAGTCAGAAAACAATACTATAAGTTGAAGCAATTGGAAATGTCAAATAAGAAAATTAATTATACTGGAATAACCTTGTAGGATTCTCAAAAATAATGTAGGAAGGTTTTGGTAACTGGCAAGAAGATTTAAGTAGCTCTCTGAAGTTGAACCTAAGAAAAACAGAGGCTTTGAGATGAAATGAAGTGCTTTTTGCACGGAGACGGAGAGAAAGATGTATCCTCGACGCTCAAAGGCTATCTCTTTCGCTCTCAAACTTTCTATGAACTTTTTGCTCTCAAGATCCCCTGAGAAGAGAATACGCATGAGATCCAAAAGACTTGTTTCAAATGGTTTCAATTGGAGGTACTTCTTGCTACTCACACGTTCCATGATGTTTCTGATTAATTGACGATACTAATTGCACCTATTTTTTCTCCTGAAATTAGGTAATCAACATAGCAATATCATTATCAAGTGTTACCTTATTTATAACCAATGTTACAATTATTCATTTCCATCGACTTTATTTAGCTTAACGAAGAAGAAATTAGAAAGAGACTTGATTCTGTCTCTTATGCTTTTAGAAATATATGGAATTTGCGTTCAGGTGACACTTTAGCATCTTTCAGGACGACCAATATTATAGGAGTATAGTAATGGACTAAGTTCAAATTTCAAATAGTTGGCAATATATTAGTAATAAGGGCTCGTTTGGTGTGAGGTATAATAACAAATAGTCCCGGGATTAAATTATAGTACCGCTTATTTTGTTGTTTGGTTGGCAAGTTCGGGATAACTTATCCCGGGATTAATAATTAGTACCGGGATAAGTTATCCCTCTCCTTGGGTGGTATAGTAATCCCGGGATAACTTATCCCGGGATAAAATAGGTAAATGACAAAAATGTCTCTTTCAACCCTTTTGTTATATCACTTTTTACATTAATGAAGGGCATTTTTGTAAACAAATAAATTGTTCTTAAAATTTATTATTTTGAATACAACAAACCAAACACTCAATAAAAAATAATCCCAACACAACTTATCCCATCATAACTAATCCCAACATAACTTATCCCAACATAACTTATCCCATCATAACTCATTTTCAAACCAAACGACCCCTAAGTATATTATTCTCACTCAATGTCAGTCTTTTGGAAATACTATTAAGTCTTCCACGCTACCAACTTGTGAAGGCACATGAAAAGGATTCTAAGAGTGATAGTGTGGAAGTCCACATGAACACACTACCTGGACGATCTTTTCCAGATCAAAAGTATGTAGTGAATCTTCAAGATTTATCGGATTGGGGAAATCTTCAGGACTCGGTTCAAACTTCAAATCAATTATAGTAAATATCTACATTGGTGCAGGGAAAAACTAATACGTAGGATAAGAAATTCTAAAAAGCACACACTCGATCGCTAGCTAATTAATTCATAATTATGCTGGTACTATGCCAATCTTTTGATACTTTGCAACGTCTTCAGTGGAATGATCAGATGATCCGAGCCTGGTAGAGTTAACATAATCCTGAGGACAATGAGCAGGCATGCCTGGGAGTAGCAAGCCTACCACTCTCATGAATAGAAGAAGCCCACCTTCCTGATACTTTCGTCCGTGTACACATGGTAGAATACAGCTTCTGATCAGCTCCCAAGCTGCATTTAACATCTTTGGTATAAACAGTAACAGAAACGAGTCATTCTTGTCTGGTTCTTCAACTAAAATCTGCATTATTCAAACAACATATATTCGTGGAGAATTCAGAATTTAGAGTTAATGAGTTTAGAATAAACTAGTTAGATCTTATTGTACATGTATACTATATTTTATTTTATTTTTGCATATGTAGACAACTCAAACTGAAGATAGATTAAATTTACATCCAAATTAGTACATTTTCATGGACTAAATTTGTTACTTAAAAAAGAGGTTGAAAGGGTACTTACTTTTTCTCTGTAGAGGCTATTGTAATAGATGCAAGTTCCAAAGTGCTTGAACATGAAAGTAGAATTGTCATATGGCATTCTTGGTACCATATCATTGCTGTAGACAACTCTATAGTATGGAACCTCATGTTTTGTTAATTGTTCCTTCATATACTCAATAAAATTTTCATCTCCAACTCTTGGTTGACCAAATGTATAAACGCCGCCTAATCTTTTCAACAGCCAAGATTCCTCATGGAATGCTAATATTGCTGGAAATAAAATTGCAAGTGCTCCACCTAAACTGTGACCAGTAACTACAAACCTTGCCTTTTCATTTTTCTCCAGAAGTTGTTTGAGCAATTTTCTTAGGAAATAGTAGGCTGGAGGTGGGTGATTAATATTATCATCAGTTTGTACAATATTTTTGGGCCATCCGAGGCTCTTTTGCAAGCCGAGAGCTTGAACGAATCCGGCATGGACTTTGCCCATGCCGGGAATGTCATACCAAGAGAGATTAAAGTCGGAGATCCAATCATCAGAATTGAAGAATTCAGTTCCTCTAAATGCCACAACAATCAGCTCAGGGTCCACGTTTTTATCCTGAAGCACGAATGCTTGTGTTGTAGCTTTCTGTTGATATTCTGTTCAAATCCAGAAAAAAAAAATTGAGGAAACTTGTGGAATCTGTTCAAATCTGGAATAATTTGTTTCCCACCAAAACGACCCGTAGTACACTGTTGATGATGCGATGTGCCAGTGATCGATACTTTAATTAGGTGTAGGGTCCCACAACGCGTGTGAATGCATTATTTGGTCTCCTGGTTTTGACCCTTTCGGCAATTTGTCTCATGAGCATTTATTTTCCCACTACCCTCCCAAAAAGATCAATATTATTGTTTCTTTTTTAAAAAACCCAAACTCTCAAACTTATTTGTTGATGATAAAGCTAATCAATTAGTTGAGCAGACATGTTGTTGCTTGTGCAAACTCCCTCTTATATAATAAGAAAAAATTAACTTTATTTCCAATTGTAAAATGAGATTTTGTTGTTCTTAAAAAATAAAAAGGATAACTTTATTATATTATTTTCAATAATTTGAGCACTAGTCCCCGATATAATCGCTATGTTTGCAAAAGCTTATACATATTTATAAGTAGGATCTTACCATTCCAGAAGTCAAATGAGCCCACCAGATCCATCTGCATAATATTGAAACGCAAGATCTGAGCACATCCTTCTCCATTATTAATAATTATTAAGAAAAGAGAGAGATAAATTAAAATGGGTGCCTGAAAACTTTTTTTTATGTCTGATTTGTTGTAAGAAAAAATTAAAAAAATATTTTCCTTAAGTTTCCTAAAAATGGAGGTAGAAAAAATAAATATGTTTCCAATCTTATAGCAGCACGGATTATATACAAATATTACTATTATTATTTACAAAAACAGTAAGTAAAAAACTAGAAAACACACCCAATATGTTAGGTCAGGTAGTTTACCTTCCAGTGATCCTTAACAGTAGTTTCAACATATGCTTTGTTTTCGTAAGCTGCTTTTGCAGCCATCATGCTGATTGCCTCATCATATCTTCTACGTCCTCCAACATTCTTACTAAAATCCAGCTCAACTCTTTTATCCAGATTTCCAATAAATGACAAGTACGCCGCTGATTCCTTATCCGGTGATACAGCTTTACCTACAATCAATTGTTTATAAATATGATCAGTACGTACGTACTACTTCATGAGATCTAAAAAAAAAGATGAAATGTCGTACGTACATATTAAGGATTTGAAAAGAAGACGGAAGAAGCCGCCATTAACGTTTTGAAGGTTAAGCCAGTACTCAATGCCATTGCCGAACCCTGCTAAAGGTTTAGCAATTGCGAGTAAAATCTTCTGGACTAGAATGGATAAAAATATAACCCATCTACGTGACAAAGGCTCCTTAATCATTTCTTCATTAGGGCAGTCCACGAATTCTTTTTCTCCCAAACTTTTATGGGAAAACAAAATTTTTGCCAAATCTAATACACTACATTCTTCTGGCTTTAGCAACATATAGTTGCTGCAGAAAGATTTGTTGCAACTATTGTTCGCCATACTGCAGATCGATGATTATTTAATTTTAGTAAAGTATTTTATTTATAGAAGAGATGTGCATTCCAGCTTGAAATGTATGGGTCTATTTATACTACTAGTACTAGTTAGAGGTGTATTATTGGAAACTCTGGTTTCTACACTCTTCATTATGTTTAGGTGAAAGTGGAGAGACATAGGTGGGGTACAAAAATTTATGATGATTAGAATAGGGTAAATCTAAATATTTGTAGATAAATCTAAGCGTGTTACATGTGATGCTTTTTTAAATAATAATAAAAAAAAAACCATTAGGTAAAGTGCAAAATCAAAAAAGTTATTTATTCCTGAAGACTGAACAGTAGTGGCCGGTTCCTGGAAGCAGTAGCAATTATAATTTGTTTTTTTTTTTACTTAATTTAGAGAAATCTTACACATGAAAAAGATGCAATTAATTTAGTCGAACTTATTCTTTTAATGGAAGATATAAAACCAAGACATATACTAACTTATATAATAAGATTAATTGACTACTTTGATATTAAACGAAGAAAAAAGATATTAGTAGTGTATAATTTAATTTGGTGTTTGCATAGTAGGGCTATATGCCTTTTGTTTATCAAGCACAACATCTTGAATATAGAAAAAATTGATTGTCAAATATACCTCTGATCTATTTTGTAAATAATAGTATGATTAAATTATTTAGTTTTATATAAGTACTTGATGTATGTATAATAACCTTTGATATGACGAGGAGAATAATATTAACCTACTGGACCTGAAACAACTTTTATATTTATTTATTTTTCCTTAATTAATTTGAAATTATAATGATAATTGTAGTGTCTAGATCAATTTTTGACACTTTAACTAAGTATCAAGTAACTCTAAAAAAAATCACCTAAATTTTATTTTGTCTCCACTAAGTTTTGAACTTGAGATCTCAGAGTTCTCAACAGTTTTATGAATCACTATGCCAATTTGAAACTATAATGTTTAGTTACTAAAATAAATGATCCATTTGTATAATAATTTAAATTATCAACTCAATCAATTCACGTGTCCTCTCTATTGTTTGATAAAACTTGTCTGATTTTGGGCTAGTAACGTAATTCTTTATATATATATATATTACTGTTCCACCAACCTGTTAGACTTTTGGCATTATTACATTTTAAATTAGAGTACTCCCTCCGATTCACAATCTAGTTTGGCTTGGCACATAATTTAAGAAAATAAAGAAGATTTTTAAATCTTGTGGTCCT